CACACACACACACACCCCACCCCACAACCACAACCACTAATTCCGTCCAACAGGGGCGACTAGTCCTTCACACCAGGGAACTGAGAGCAGATATACAAGATTGACAAGAGAACTGGGAGATGGAGTCAGGGCAACCCCACAAAACTCCTGACCCAGAGACCGTGGGTGGGGCAGAGTCTGGAGTGGGGGCTGCCCTGCCATAGGAGGCGGCGGGCGGACCCTGAAGGGAGGGTTGGGAGGTTGCTGTCACTTTCTGAGTCTGCAGCCCAGAGTGAGATTATCCCTGTCTTCAGAGGACGGTGGCCAACTGGTCGCGGGGCCCCCGCCTCTCCCTCATCACGCAGACCCCGTGCCTCCTTCGGCAGCCGCGGTGGCGGCGGCTGCAGAGCCTCGCCCACTCCAATCCCCACCCTCTCCATCCTTAGCCATTTAAGAACAGCAGCGCCTGGCACGTTCCTGGAGGACCCCGGACGCAGAAGAGGAAAGCGAGCCGGCGCAGGGTGACAAGAAAGGCAGCATGCGCCCCCCGGGAGCAGCCTCGGCGCCCACGGTCTGAGGCTGCAGCCCCAGTCTGCCATTGTGAGCTGCCGCCGTGGGAGCCAGCCCGCGCTGCCGTCCCCCCGGGTCCCTGTCCGCGCCGCCATGGGACACCTGCCCACGAGGGCGCGCGGCGGCCGCCGCCTCCTGACTCTGCTCTGGCTCTTTGTGCTGCTCAAGGTAGGGGAGCCCACCGCGCCCTGGCGATCCGGTCCGCGGCGGTCCTCCGGCGCCCTCGCTCTGCAGCCGGGAGCGGCGCGCACGGCGGTGCGATGGCGGGGCCGCGGGAAGCGCCGCGGTGCAGCCTGGGCGCACGCTTTGTTTTCCTGGCGTGTGCGTGGTCTTGGCAGTCTTGAGGGATGCGGGAGGACGAATGAGAGAAGTTTGCTCCTTTGAGCTTTCGCCCTTTGCGCTTTTTTAGCGCCGCTGATATCCACATCAAAGGTGGGCTGACGGATAGTGCTTCCTTAGGCAAAATGAGGTACCTTTCCCTTCTAGTCTCTACTGCACCCCAATACTACTTAATCTTCCCGCCCTCCCCCAACCGAGAGTGTGCCACTGCTTTGTCTTAATTTACCTTCTGCTAGAAATACACACTGGAGGCTCAGCTCTCTGGACGCAAATAGATTTCCAGGCGTGGGTCGTGGACATGGTTTTCTTTGATTAAAGGTTGCGCTGGAGAGGACCCCTCTCCCCAAGTCCTTATATCTGCTCCGATCATTCCTTTCAAAAACTCTCTAGGATTTCCTCACTGTATACACAGAGGATGCTATCGCTAAATGTCAATGACAGGAAAATCTGTATAATTAACTTTTTCGTGTCTTCCTTAGAATATTCAGCTTTGGGTTTTACTTTGAGGAAAGGGAAAGGACTGCTTTAAAAAATCTTAGTTTGACAACTGTACTGTACATAAAATTTTTTGAAGAAATTTAAGCTAGATGTTTTCTTGGAAAGTGGCATGAAGTTATGAGGTAATTGCCTCCCACTCGTGTGTGTCTTCAGTGGGTCTACTTCAGCTCTGTCGTTAGCCCTTCTCAGCAGAGCACACTCGAGACTGTCGACAGGTGACCGGGAGCTATCCGTTCAGCACCACAGTGATACCTACTCTAGAAGTGGATGAAACATTAATGGATGCAACTGTATTCTTATCAAAGAGTCATTTCTTGCTTATGTGTATCATTAATTATGAATGCCTTACAAGTGGAGCAGGATAAGAATAGCATTAATTTTAACTATCCCCTATTTTCATTTATCTTAGTGGAAAATAGGATGAATAGTTTCAGGAAGGAACAGCAATGGAATGCATTAAATAAGATTCTAAATTATATGTAATATGTTTTTATATTTTTCTTAAGTTAGCAATAATCGTTTCTATTTAAAATATGGTAAATAGTGAGCTTAGTCATATGTTTTCACTCTAGGAGGCTGTTGTTTGATACACACTACAAATGCATTAGACTGATTAAGTTTTCTTATTAATTTTTCTACTTGTTAAACTTTGCCACAGCTATCATATCTATGTGACACTTGTTATGAACCCAAAGTGAGAAATGTAGTCACTACATATTTTACTGCATAATAGCTAAGGCTTACATGTATGACATCCGATCTAGACCCAACCTCTGGCACAACTTTAGGTTTTTACTTAATTTTTTCATAATGGGTGAGAATTCCAGAAATGAGAGAATATTCACTTGGGGATGGAGGGGAGGTAGAGTGCTGAAATTAAAATGGGAAAATGTGACAGTGTTTGACTCAAAACTCGATACTGGAATGAGAAAATGCAGTCAATAATGATATAATGGTAATCTCATTGACTGTAATAGGGGTTAACCCTGTTTCACAAAATAGATATATTTCTGAACATTTAAAGATAAATGCCAATTATGGTAAACTGCGTCACATAGCAAACACATTGAAAAAGCTTGTCATTTAAAGGAGTATTATTGTAATGGGACAAATAATTTTGTAAAACAGATCAGCACTCTTTATTTTATGTAACCACATAGTTTTATGTAACCTGAATATAAAGTATACCGAAGAAAGGAAGAAAGTATCAATATTGAATACCCACTGTGTACCAGTCAATCATGTAGGTATTTCACATACATTATTTCATTTAATCCTCTTTTATTACAGTTGACTAGGGATGCTCAAAGTGGTCAATTGGATACATAGTATAATCTTTTTTACATTTTGGTAATAGTACATTGCATGATAAATTGGTCACATAAGTATAAGCTCTTTATAGTTTAGAAATACTTTTGAATTCAAGGTCCAGTAAGTAGTTCTGTAAAATAAAAGTAACATTCAGATGATGACAGGAACATAAAAATAAAAATCCATTATTAAATACCAAATTGTCAACTGGATCTCAATGATAAGATCTAAAAAGGTTCGTGTGTGCTGAGTCAGAAACAAACCCTTCCCCATCTCCAATCTCCATAACTCTCGATTATGGCCAATAAATCTTTCACTACTCCGTATGATGTATCCTTCAAATAAACGTGAAAATCCCTAAATACTATAAATCAGGGAACTTCAAGTATAAGGATTGGTTTATAGCTTTACCTTTTCCACAACTCCAAAGCAAGCAGCCTGTTATAAGTGGTAGGAAAGTCGGAAGGTTTTAATCTGTGTGAGTGGGTCTTAATGTGTTTCACTGATGGAGTCTAAATGTGCCAACCCATGCATGTCTTTGGGCAGCATTCTCTACCCATGGCTTAGTGATAGGCACATATAATTAGGCATCTGAAATTGTACAAATCATCCACTGTACACTGTGAGGCTCGTATCTGCCTGATGTTACCTAAACAAGATGCTGATTATAAAATTTTAATTTTTTTATCAATATTGATAGTCTGTATAAAAATAGAAAAACAGAAGTGGAACTCTATTATCAAGTATACTGGGAATCTACCAATCTCAAATTCTTCTGCTCGCAGATGAGTGTAAGTGGAGTATTTCTCTGATAAGCTTCCCTCTTGTGCATCTTCACATCATTCCTAGTGAAATCAATGAACTATTCTATCTTTACTAAACCTATCCCTGAAAATTGCTCCCTGTATTAAGTCACTCAATTTCAGCACTTTGTCAACTAAGGAGCAAATTGTAGACTATGACATCACAGGAATGTAAACTCTGTCTTCCCTGAAATGGTGCCCATTAGCAGTCAACTGGAATGTTTCCCTAAACTCATAAACTTTGTATGTATCCTTTTGTCTTTCTTAACCTATGTTTCCTTCCATTTCTGCTCTTGCCCGATATATGTTCAAAGAACATTAAGTTTGAAAGGGGCCTTAATGTTGCATTTTCTGAAAGAGGTTTATGTTTAGCTGTATAAAGTATGAATGTTACAAGGTTGGCCATACACTTATTCAGGAGAAATATCCACTTTCCAATGTCTATCTGCCTTTCTCCACTTCTCTGTGCCCCTCTCTCTTCCTCTCTCCCATTCCCTCCTCCTCCTTCTCCTGCTACTTCTCCTCTCTCTCTCTTTCACTGTGTGTCTGTCTCTGTCTGCCTTTCTCTCTCTCTCTCTCTCTCGCACACACACAGAGGCAGCTCAGCTTTCCTTGGTGAGGTTTCATCCACATTATATATTATACAGTGTTGGCAGATAAACTGTAGTCCTTTCATCTTTCTGACGCAGCCTAGACCATCCTCCGCACAATGAAGTTTGCTGCCATTAACTCCTCTGTCAACTGACTTCTTTGATAAATGTTGCCGCCAACCTTTCAGAGAAACCCTTTTATATAGAACAACATCCCCAATAAGTTGGGTAAGGTTCACTGGACTGGGCTTCTACAGGTGACTGGGTGATAATACTCAGGATCGTGCACACCTGTTTTGTTCTTTGCTGTATGAAAGAATAGAAACATCACATCATATCTCTGCTTTGTTTTAGCCCAATATAAGAACGTTATACTTTATTTTAAAATGTCGCACCATTTCTAGTGTATAAATACCCAACTTAAAGGTATTTCAACTTATAAGCAGATTGACTGCTGAGTCTTAAAAGTTCCAACTTGAGTCTTGAGTGTTTGCAAAAGAATCGTCGGTGCTGAATACAGTTGATGCACCCATATAAACCACTGTGATTGGTAGCAATGTGGCATAATAGAAATTTTAACAGCAAGAGCTATAGATATCTATTTCTCATTTTCTCTCTAATTCGGTGCCTTCAGGTACACAGTTCCAGTGATTCTGTATTTTCAGGAGCATAGTCCCAGTACAATGATGAAGTTTACTGTAAAGCATTTAATGTGTTCATCTGATTATTCTAATTATGTTGTAAATATTTGTGAAATAAAGGAATGTCTATTATGATTTGTTGTTTTTCACTGTGCCTAGCCTGTGGTGTTAGGCATATGACAGAATCTAAATAAAAAGGATCCAGGTATTTTGCATTATATAAATAGTTTCAAACTGAGAATTTCTACACCCTGTTCTACACTCTGGTCTCGTTTATGTCTATGGTGGTGTTTAATCTAGGTTCATAACCAATGACTTAAAAACTCTTCTTTGGTGTTCTTACAAACCTATTGATATCACCTTTCTCTATTTAAATAAGTAGGTGACAGACTTCCTCGTGCACTTGCGTCATTGATTTTAGAAGCCAAAAGAAGGTTAATGTGGCACAAGGAGAGTAAGCAAAAGGGCGAATGGGGTAAGATGAGACTGGAGCGGAGCACGAAGGCTCTTGTCCTCTTCTTCCCTGGTGCTCTTGGCTCCAGCAGGCTCCATATTGTTTTTAGCAGCCATTCAGAGGAATGTGTGAAATACTCTCCTGATGCCTCTCTCATTGTAGTCTTTGATCACTAGTTACTCCTAATATTTCCCTTTCCCAAGCTTGTCCTACATCTCCAGAGCACCTATCCATAGTTTTCTTTTTTTCCCCTCTGACCCTGTCAGAAAATAATCCTCAACTCATTTATCCAGAATCTAATTCTCTGAAAGAGTTCTTTTTTTAGGCGTTTTATTTGCTTTAAGTCTAGACCTTTTTTCTTCTAAATATTTTAAAATCACCAAACAAACAGAGGATGTTTGAAACAAGGTTGTAGAGGTTTCTTGATAAAAGGCTTTTTCTTTCTTTTCTGTCAGGGATTGAGATGAAAGAGAGGAAAAAAAAAGAGGTACATTTGGAAAAATATTTCAGAAATAGACAGTCAGAATTGGAA